TATTAATTAATGAAATGTTACGTCATTTGATAAGACAATCTTTAACCAAAACCTTTTCCCCTCACACATATATTAGACTTTTGTTGCTGCTGCTATAACACAATACCACAAATTGCGTGGTTTAAACAATACCCATAGAATGTTTCACATGTTGAGGTGTCAAATCCCTAAAGCAAGGTATTTTCAGGGTTATGGTTGTTCTTCTGGAAGTTTGAGGGCGGAGTCTGTTTCATTGCCTTTTCCAATATCTAGAGGGTTGCTGCCTTTTGTGGAGCGATTCCCGGAACTTCGAAACCTGTGGTACATAGCATTTTTACTTTAGCTCCTACTTCTGTCCACTGTCACATCTCTGTTTCTGTCTTTCTCCTCGAAAAGATTCTTATGCATAAAATATGGCCACCTTGGCAGGCAGAGATAATCTTTTATCTTTAGTCACATCTTCAAGGTCTCTTTACTATGGAAAAAATAACAACCACAAGTTGTGATTAGGTCATAAACATGTTGGAGGCCATTCAGGCGACAAGAAGACTGGCTTTGTAATGTGACCTTCCTGTTGTGGCTTTAAAGGGCTGTACTGGGACTTTAATCACTGAGAAGTTTCCAAGATAGATATGATACTGTGGCAAGAGTTATCAAAATTGCATATCAAAATAATTTTTTAAATATTACATATTCATTCAGTTCTGAGAAAGCTTTATTTAGGACCATGAATTTTCTACTAGATTTTGAAAATAATATACAGTAGCTTATTTCTAATTTTATTCTTTTATTAAAAGAATAAGCATTCAATTTCAGTAGAGAAAATATTTCTGTCCATAAATGTTTCTCTCTTGTGAATATCATGCCTGTGAATATCTAATATTAACCAGAATAAAACAAAATTTAGCCACACCAGATTAGAAATGTTATGTGTATAACCATGGGCATATTCTGGAGAACTTTAAGGAATTTCTTTTTTGAGCAAGTGGGAAATGAAACTGAAGATTTAAATTGAAGGTAGATGACCCACTGGTGTTTTGGTTGTGAGTTACATGGCACCTTGTTAAAACTATATGACAGATTCAATTTCTACCACATAGGATTTTAGATAAAAAGATAGATTGGAAAAGCATATGTCTATACTCAGTGGGGAGACCTAATACTAAAGATGTGGGGTAGAGGATTAACCTGAGGGTAAAGTGATTGATAAAGTGAGACCATCTGAAATGGCACTTAACAGAGGTTTGCAACAGCAAGGTGTTTAATCTCCAGATTTATGTTTACTATATATAGATATAGTAAACATATTATATATATGTTATATATAATAAACATATTATATATATGTATATATATGTATTGAATAAAATAATCTTGAGTCAGTTGCTCATCACTTTGATATCTGACAGCAATTGTTAGGGTGATGCAAGCTTCCATGTTACAACGATGTAGCTCAGCAACTCAGCCAGACTCAAGGAAGTGAGGCTTGGTATCACTCTGTAGTAAGTCCTAATACCATTGAAGCCTAATGCCTTATCTTGTCTTTAGCAGACTGTTCCTTTTTGTTGCATTAATTAGTTAATTAATTAACTGCTTTATTTGGGGATATCCTCATTTTAAATGAATCTAGATTTGTATCCCAAGCACCATCCTTTTATCCTTCATTTCTTTAATTTTTCTCTCCTGTTTGAAACCTTTTAATGACTTTACTACAGCCAGACCATGCATCTTTTGCTTGTTTTTGCTCCATTTTCCTATAAGGTACCACATTGTCATTTACATCTGTTCATATTAATCTTCCAGTTCTCAACCCTTCATCAGTCAAACTTAAAGCTCTCTGTCAAGATTTACCCAAAAGTGTACCGCTCCTACAAGCCTTCTTTGGTACCTCCATACAGATTCATTGCTCCACTGATATCGCCACCATGTCTATTTGAAATCTTTCTTTTGGATTTGTCAGAATTGAAAAGATAATGCCTATATGCTGATTGTTCTTACTTGACTCTGAACTCCTCGAAAGTAGTGACTTTGTGTTATCCTTTTTTATGTTTCCAGTTTTCATGTCAGTGCCTAGTTAATAAACGATTTCCAAAACAAGAAACTGATAACTCTTCAAAATTAGTAATGGAAATTAATCAAATGAAGTCAGACCCTAATCATTAAAAAGGGTTTATTAAGATCACAAACCTACTTTTTAAATTTTTCATAACTCATTACATAATTTTTAGAAGTACCAAAAACTATCTTTTTCTTTTTTTTGTTTTGTTTTGAAAACAATCCTTTCCCTAAAGTTTTATTAGGGGTCATTCTGTTAGTAACCCCTGGAGAACATGAAAATGTCTTTAAAATAATTCTTCCCCCATATTGATGCTAACATTTAATATTGTCAACTAGCCTATGAAAAGCAGAAAACCACGGGTTGTTTGGTTTTTCTAAGGACAGCAACTACTAGTTTGAGGAAGGCAAAAAGAGTCTGAATTAGAGAATTCAGACTCGCATGTCAGACTCCAGGTAACCTCTTCAGGAGAGCATTATATCATAACTAAGAATGAACAGAGAAAAGAACTTGGTGAGAAAGGCAATTTAAAAGAAGTTAATATTCACTGAGCATTTAATAAAAGGTATGTTAGCTTACCACAAGTCAAATATCAAATATCAAAATACCCTCATGCAATAGGTGCTAATTACTCAGTTTTCCAACTTCACAAATGTGTTTGTTCGTTCTGCCTCCTTTATATCAATTATGAGATCTGTCAGTGACAAGCACCCTGGTGAGAGCAGTGCGCAGGATCCCTCTAACCTAACCATGATGCCATCCGGTTTCAGCAAATTCAAGTGTGGAGGCCAGCACACCTGTCACAAGTGCACAGAGAAAGTGACCACCATATTTCTCCGCCCTCCCCAGAAAGTGAAGATAGGTTATTCTATATTGTTCCCATTTGAAAGGAACCTGGACTTCACACAGGGACAGAAAGTAATCACACCTTTCTTTTTCCTTCTCTAACACCTTGTCTGAAACACTTAGGCCCCAGAGATAGTTGCCAGAGAATGTACTGACAGATGGAAGAAATATCAGTAGTTCTTATTGTCAGAATTGAGGGGAATAGGATGAAAAGCATTCGAGGAAACAAAGGGATTTAGCACATACATTTTCAAGGAGTATCCATAGTATCTAAATTCACAGAACTCACTGAACAATTTTATGGCCATTTCTCTAGGAAGAAGATGCCCTTAAATACATTATGATAAACAAAATGAGACAATATAAAGTTAGAATCAAATAAACTTTTATTGTAAAAATTAGAATTTCCTTTTATGATTTATTTTGTCTGTATTTTCACTAGAGTAATAGTATTTTATATTTATAATCACAAAGTTTGGGAAAATTCATTGCATTTCAGAGGTACTACTTTAATGACATTATGTATTAAAACAGGAGATAACCCACTTCAACTTTTCCTTAATAACAGCTATATTTCCAAGAGTAAGAAGAAAAAATTCCTTTACTTCAGACCACTTGGTATATTTGCTAGAGAAACAGACTATTATTTCTAGAAATTTTAGACATGATGGTTTTGATGTTTTTCCTTTATAAATTTTGTTCCTAAGAGAAAATACATACATGGGATCTTATAGGAACATAGACAAATATAAACATAGAAAGGTAATGTGATGGAAGGAAGCAGAGCTGGAGGAAAGCACACATAGGAGAGGATATGATTATCTGCATTCAATATTCCTCCCCTAATAACACTGAGCTCAACTGGAGGATAAGGTTGTTTGTAAGTACATCACACATTAATTACCTTCACAGCTTTCCCTTTCACAGATAATGCCCTAGACCAAAGTAGATGGGCAGCCTTCGTCCTCATTTGAAGCAGAGGAATAATCTTGAAGGCTAATAGCCATATTGATTTGGAGAGAGTGGGGATTCTTTCTCATCACAGAACAATCTTGATTAGTTAAGTAAATCATTACTATGTGCTGTATTTGTCCACGTAAGAATTTGACTTAATTGTCTTCTTTCTAAAAGGATTTCAGATTCCATGTTGTTTTATATGTTTAACTTTGTGTTGTCGAAATGCTGCAAACTGGAGTCCTTTGATCCTACTCAATTCATTTAAATAATTTAAAGATGATAAATACAGGGACAGAAATCTGATTGGGTCTGATAGTGAAAACCTTCCATTTCTGAAATCTGAAATTCCAAATGATTTTAATGCTTATCAGTGATGCTATATCGCAATATCCCTACCTAATTTTTAATTGCTTTTGAAAGGAAACATTTTTATTAATTTCAAATAATGTGACAATTATTTCTATTCCTTTAATTTACATACTACAAGAAGCTGTTTGAAAGGACTATTATTTTCCACTGAGAGTGAGTGGAAGTGACATTTTGAGAAAGTTATATTGAACAGCACCATGTTAAAAGATCATTTTAAAGTCCAGGGACTGTATTTAAGAACCACTTATGGAAGTACTTAATATTTTCCTGCTACATTTGTTTACTTATTTCTGTCATTCTTGGTAACAATGTAACCTCCATGAGGGCAAGACCACAGTGGCTGCTTTATTACTGCCTTCCTTCACAAAAATAAAAAGGGCCCTCCCTGGTGGTGCAGCGGGTTAAAGGACAGCACTAAGAAGCTAAAGCCACTTTAGCATGAGTTCGATCCCCGCGCAGGAGGTGACCACATGGTGCCGCAGACCTCTCCTGACCCACCCGCTGCTGCCCTCAGTGTATACTTCATCAATTGGCCTGTTCTGCTCCCCACTCTGTCTCTGGTGAATCCTCTCACCACCCCTGCACCTCTGGTCTGTACCCCAGTTTTGTATGCATAAATAAATAAATCTTTAAAAAAATAATTACTAAGACATTGAGTAATGATGATGACCAGTCTTAGCCTAATGATGATGACCAGTCTTAGCCTAGAGTGTGCTAGTATCAGAGGATTCAGTGAATGACACATTTCCCTTTAATATATGCACTTTTACAACCACAGCAAAGAATTACTTACCACCATGAGCATACTGCCTTCATCCTTGCTCCATCTTCTTCACTTCTGCTAAACTTTTCAGTTTTCAGTGTCCATTAATGCATTTTTATTGATTTGATCCTCTGTGCATACTCATCTGCCTTTACTTGTGCCTACAGGGAAAAATCAATATTAATCTTTATCTTCCTGACTAATTTCACTTCATGTCATGCCCTTGAGTTCCTTTTGCTTATTTGCAAATGGCAAATTTAAGGTTTCTTACTATCTGAATAGTATTCCATTGGGTGTATGTTCTATATTTTCTTTATTTAATCATGTATCTTTGGGTACTTAGGTCGTTTTCGTATCTTTTTCTTTTGTTTGTTTTTTTCCAAAGATTGATTTATGCATACAGAACTGGGGTACAGGATAGAGGTTTGATAGGTGAGAGGCTTCACCAGAGACAGAGTGGGGAACAGAAAAGTCAGATCGACAAAGTACACTGCTGAGGGGAGCAGCAGGCAGGTCAGGAGAGCTCTGCCATGCCATGTGGGTCACCTCGGGACCAGGGATTGAACCGGCATCGAAGCAGCTACTGCTAGCTTGCAGTGCTGTGCTTGAACCCACTGTGCCATCAGGGAGGGCCTGTTTTCATATATTAACTATTTTTAAAAAAATACTTACTTTACATAGAAGAGCTGGAGTGAAGGCCAGAGAGGATTCATCAGAGAAAGAACAGGGAGCACATCAGGTGGATTTACTGAAATACACTGCTGAGGGGAGCAGTGGGTGAGACGGGAGAGGTCTGTATTAAAAAGGAATATGTGTGTGTGAGTAGAATATTCTTAAGATAAACAATCCTTAATGCTTTGTCAAGGGTGGCACAGACAACTGTTGTGATAAAATTAAATTCCATGACAAACTTGTTACAAATATTTCACATTTTAAAATTAATATTAAATCATGGATTGGTAATAGCTAATAATAGTTACTATTAATTTTTTCAAAGCAATTATACATTTAGGTAATTTTATCCTTAAAGTATTTATTCAACATCTAACTAAAATATATCATGATGAAATACAATAATTCTTTTGAGAAGTTTGAAATTCTCTTCCCAAGTTATTTTACAAAAAAGAATTCTGCATTGGATAGTTAATGTCCCTAAAATTATTATCAAAACATGATGTTTTTTCTTTCTAAAAGAATATAGGACCTCTTAAAACTCAATGCACTTAAACAAAATGACAGGTGTTATTTTGCATTACAATAAGATCACTAGAGAACTTCCTCTATTGTCATCAAAATACTACACAATTATCATTATAAATCATTTCTGCTCTGAAGATCTTCATTGTAGATGATTAGCTGTCATTTATGTATTGACTTGTGTTAGCACAGTTACTGAAAATAACAAAACCTTCTAAAATTATATGTGTACTCATTGTACAGTCTAAAATATTTAATTTGAAAATATTGTTGCTTCATGTGTCTCCCTGTTTTCTAGACTTTAAAAGAAAATTCATCAAAATGATGTAGATCAAATAAAAATATTTTAGTGTAAATTTATGGGTGACTTAATTATCAAAGCATATACAACCCTTTTACTCTTTTAACAAAAAAGGACTTAGAAAGTGATTGAGCTTAGCATCCATATGGAAGAAACCCAATACACCTCTTTAAAAAGTTCCCAGTGATACTCAAGCTACTGAACCAAGAACAACACATGGTGAGCCACTTATATTTTATTTCTTAGTGTTTCACCAATACATCTTTATATTTTCATCTACTCTTCTCCGCTCTATGAGCATAGAGTCATGATTATTTTTTTATTATTGCATTCCTTTCATGATTTCTTTGGGGAAAAAATAGGCTTTTTACCTACCCTTTTTTATCACCAACTTAAAAGATATCTTAGAGAAAGTGACCTTTAGGAAGAATTGATACTAAAAATTAGTATGTGTGGTAAAAAAAAGAGGGATGGAAAGGTTTGTAGGAACAATTGAGAATTAAAAGACACATACATATCTCTCATGATCCTGGATGCATTATCCTTCAAGATATTAGCCAATCAAATTTAACAGCATGTAAAAGAATTATATTCAACAAAAAGTATGCAATGCTAGTTCAGTGTTCAAAAATTGGTTAATGTAATCTGTCACATCACTAACTTGTCATAATAGACTCAGAAAAAAATTGAGTCTAAAATCTTGGTAAAATCTTGCAGTAAACTGAAACTACAGGGGACCTTCAACTTGATGAAGATCATCTACAACAAATGTACAGCTTACATTATATTTAATGCATAATAGTTGATGCTTCCCATTCATGGTAAAATCTTGCAATAAACTGAAATTACAGGGGAACTTCAACTTGATGAAGATCATCTACAACAAACTTACAGCTTACATTATATTTAATACATAGTAGTTGATGCTTCCCCCCCAAGATCAGGTATAAGACAAGAATATTCCCTCCCATCACTTTTTCAGCATCTAAAAATTCTAGCTATTTCAGGAATACAAAGACACTAAAAGATAAAGAAATTGATAATGAAAATTTAAACTGCCTTTTTCAGACAAAATCTGCTGTGTAGGAAATCCAAGAGAATTAAAAATCCTAAAGCAAAAGTTGCATGATGCAAGGTAGTTAGAACCAATAGTGTCTTTACCAGCACTGAACAAATGAAATATAAAATTAAACACATACCATTTACCTTGGCACACAGAAAAAATAATACTTCAGTGTAAATCTACCACAATATGTACAGTATCAGATTGTGGGAAACTACTAAATTCTGATGAATAAAATTAAAGGAAAACTGAACAAATGGAGAACTATTCTAAGTTCATGGGTAGGGAGACTCAATGCTATATAAGTATAAATTCACCCAAATTTTACCTTTAGAGTCATGACAATCCCATTCAAATCCACCTTGGTTATTTTGTGGATAATAAACTTTCTAAAGCATGTGGAGAAACCAAAGACTATGGATGTCAGCACACTGTTAGAACAAAGTTGGAGGACTGGTGATACTCAGCTTCCATACTTAAAGCTAGATGTGAAGCTATACAAAGCAAGACAGTGTGGTATTGACAAATGCATAGACATATTGATTAGTGGAATGAGCTAGGCATCCCAGAATTAGGCTCACTTAAATATGGGAAGGAGTTTTCTAAAAAAGGAACAAGGAGATATAATGGGGAAAAGATAGTGTCTGGACATCAATATGCAAGATTATAACCTAGATGAAGACCTTACAACTTCGACAGAAATTAACTCAAACTGAATAGACCAAAATAGAAAAATAAAACTATAAAACTCCTGGAAAAAATATGGAAGAAAATATAAAATATAGATATTTTGGATATAGTTACGATTTTATAGATAAAGCAATGGCATGATCATGAAAGAAATAACTGAAAAGCTGGACTTCAGTAATATTAAAAACTTTTGCAAAAGACAATGTCAAGCAAATGAACAGGCAAGTTCCAGAATGTGGGACAATATTTGCAAAAAACACAGCTGGTAAAACACTTTAACCCAGAATATAAATATTACTCTTAAAACCCAGCAAATAAACAAAGACAAAAACAAACAAAAAACAAAAATCAATATCAAATAATGCACGGTAAAACAAAAATAGAACCCTGATCTTAAACACTAACACTTTACCCAACTAATTCATATATCTCCTTATGTCCTTACATGTCCCACAGCAATTTTACAATTTTACATTGGGACATCACACACATAAACTGTGACCACATGAAAATGTTTCTAAAACAAACAAGCAGAAATAGAGGGAAAGCTATTTTTTTAAGCTGGAGATTTTGTATATCTAACCTAAAATAGGGTAGAAAGCCTTCCATTCTAGTTCTAGGAGACCAGAAATATCTGTGGAATATAGGTTTATATTTCAACCTAGTCTCAGTATTTGTGAATAAAGTAGGAATCTGTACTAATTCTGCAGTAGTTTTACTTGTTTATCTTTAGGGTTTCCATAAGTATTTACTGGGACATGGGTAGATTTATGACATAGGCTATGGAGATGTCTCTATTTTGCTCAGAATTTTCTTTGTTAATAAAAATCTTCTACTTTATTATTTTAGTAAAACAATTGTAAATTATAAGGTATGAATAATTACAATGGAATACAGAAACAAACTATTGCTGTAACAGGAAAGAACTTTAAGATGCAGACACAGATGTTCATGAATCCAAAAGTTAGTCTTGGTGTATGTATATCTTTTGTGTGCTTGATCCAAAAAGAACCTCTCATAAGATATCTATGATTATGCCAATTTATTATTATATTTCAATAAAGATTTTATTTTTCCACAAATCTTTTTGGAGTATAGAGAGTCTGTTGAAGCTCTTCTCAGAAATTGTCTCTATTGTGGCTGTTGAGACCTAGGTATCATTTTCTCTCAAACACAAGAAGGCTGAGATAGGTGTTAGAAATCACAATTCCCTCTTTGTTTCTCCTTGTTCTGTGCCAAAGGTTGAAAAGGGAATAGTATAAAGTTATGGGTGTTTCATGTTCTGAGTCACTACTTTGAATTATGAAAACTGGAACTCATGAGTTACTGTAATTTTCTCACTGTATTTATTCCCTGAATTCATTGTGTGAATTTATTATCAAACAAGTAATTTTTCATATATTTTCTAAACCAAGATATATTTGTAACATGTATTAATTAGAAAATGTATCTTTCTTTTCTGAGAAAATTTTATCAATAGAGCATGAACTTTATTTATTTTATGTGGGTATATCCCTAGTATGTAGATAGTACCTGACACATAGTAAGTGCTCAATAAGCAATCGTGGAAAGGAACAGAAGGAGGGAAATA